TGGGTCTTTAGGTGATAAAAATAAAAAAAGCAGTGTGTAAATTAGTCTGAAAATTTGGAAAGGTGACTTCAGGGCTGAGTGATGAGGAGCTTTATGAAGCTGTCCACGTGGTCCATAGGTGCTTAATATTTTAAAATTAATTTCATGCAATTTGTATATGGACGTAGCACCAGCATTTGAGTAAAACATTATTAGGAATCTAGCATAATTGCGTGCAAAATGCAATTATATTTTGTATTTTTTTAAATTGGTAAAAAAGGTACTCCAATTTGCAACTTTGCAAGTCATCAAAGCCTCTTTCATGCACAAAGCAGGTACCGCACTTCGATTCTGATTATGGTCGGCCCGCAGTGCTCAATCGGTTTACCCTATCATGCAAACGTCACCATGTGGATGGACAGCTGCGCTGGCACGAACAAGCAAAGTAGACTGTAGAGCGTTGAAGTGGTCAAAGCAACATTAAATGTTGACAGTTATGAGCTTATGCAAAGGTGGTGTAGACGCTGTCCCATTTGCACTGATGCCACAGTCACCATCACGAGCGCAGGCACGGACAGTGACGTTGATAACGAGACAGGCTGAGAGTCCAGCAATCCTGCATTTATGCTCTTTGTCCTCCGCAAATTCGCAGGTCCAATTCTTTTCCAAGTTGTCAGTTACCCCAACCTCGTATCTGGTGGTTAGCTCCGTGTTGGATGTCGGTTCTTTCCAGGTCACTACTATGTCCGTCGTGGATGCCTTCGACACTCTTACATCCAGTGGCACTATTTGCAATACCGACTAGACGGATCGTATGTATAATTTGAGTTACTGACACACATAGCTACAGTTTTAAGCCGAAAGGCCCTTTTATCCTCTCCATGTAACTGCCTCATCCGTAGATAGTGTGGACATTTTAACATAAGTAGTGACACTGACATAGCAGCGTCAGTTAATTAAATGCTGTTGTGACAGACGATTCAACCAAACTTGACGAGTTGCTGCCACGCTCTTTGTAGTGCTTTATTTGAGGCGGCTAAATCGACGTCACCCTCCTTTTGACCACAATGAAGGTGGACCTCTGCTCAATAGTTCGCTCAATTGTCGGTATAGTTGTGCAGGGTACGAGCGTTGCAAAGTCGTACTTGTGCCACAACAGGTAAGCCAACTTGAGGTCTTACATTCAACGACTTGAGGTTTCACGAACCCCAGACTTTGTATTGTAATAGCTGTGCTTTGCAAAATATCACTGTGAACTCACCAGGTTTGGTGTAGACGACCAATGGCTCCGATTTCAGACTGCACAACTTTGGATTCTGAGTGAAGCAGGCATCAATGGTGACATTGTAGGCAGTGTTGGCAATGAGATGGGTCACGGTGCACGAATTGGTCTTGCTTGTATAGCAGCACACCATAAGGCCCTCCGTTGATTTCTCGGGCTTTGCACACACAGTGTAAGTGTACTGATGCGGTGTGGAAGCATTAGGCAGTAGATTCCAGGTTGCTTCAATGCTATTGTGGGTCCTGGTTTTTAACACTAGGTTTTGGGGCACTGAAAGTCCCAAAACGTTGCAAAAATAAGTGAACATCAGAGCGGTTGAAAACAAGAAGGATTGAAGGAAGTTGAGCAAAGTGTGGCGGAAAAACGTGGGGTTACGGACATTGCAACTGCAAGTGTAATTGCACCAGTCACAACGAGGGTAGGTGTGACCACCTTCACAGTTTGAATGCGCATAGGCGAAGGGAAAGTTGTAACCAATCCGAGATTGGAGATCGCACATAAAGTGAGCTACATCTTCAATTTGACAAACTCGAATTTCTACTTCATTTCTGTCCTTCGCCTCGAATCCAATGGCCAATCCTTCCGATGCAGTTGGTGCACAGATCGCACAGCGGATTCATTTAGCCGCATTGTAAGTACAAATCCTCAATTCTGCCTCAAATTCGTGTTTTTTTGACATCTATTTCAGGTAAGTGGAGTTAGTAGACGTGCGTTACGCCAGTAAAGGGCAATTGCCAAAGGAGAATCTGTGTAAAGACCAAACTCGTAAACATTCCTCTTACTGGGGCAGGGTTGTAGCGTTGACACATGAGGAAGGGTCGCAAATAGAATGTCCTGCACTGGAGTCTAATACAGACGAACCTGAATGCGAATGTGACACAAATAGAGTGCAACAAATGATGCATGTTGTTGTTGCGTGCGAAGTGTATGCTGACGCCGACACACATGCGTGACAGGCTTGAATACAGACTGCGCAGGGAGTGTAGGGGAGAGAGACCGTCTTTATAGCATATTAATCGGTATTCGCAGAAATGAGATTGTTTTTTTTTCAACTTTACAACTTGTAGACGCCTGCTTCAGGTGCCACACAACGACGGATAGACGAATTCTGATTCTAGGCATTCAGGCATGCCTTGACCACTATTGTGGATAGGCTGCAGCTCTCAACTGGTGTTTTCGACTATGGAAATTACTTGTACGCATTTGCAAGACAAAAAACGTTATCATTTGGCTCATCATGGAAAAGCAAATTATTGTTAGGTTATGGCACATTAGTTTAAGAGGGCACGAACCTGGTATTGGTGTAGTGGTGGTTCTGCAAAGTAGAAGGCGCACAATAGTCTCATGCCATTAAAGTATGCGCATTTCTTACTCTTTTAAATATTTTCTTTAACTTAATTTGTTTAATAATGTATTTCTTGTATATTAATCTCAAAGCGGAAATACGGCGAAGCGTGTAGGACAAGCCCTGGAAGTAGTACACAATTTACAGACTAAATAATGCCCAGATGATTTTTAATTCAAAATATGAAGCACTTCACCTCTGCTTCCATCTGGAAAATTAAGTCGCAAAATAGCATTAGGATCAAGATGTACTCGTTGCCCTGAAACTATAATGAAAGTGATTTGTAAAGGAGAAGGAATTAACTGGTGTGTTTGTTGGTCCATTGGCACACACTTTTGCATGAGTATCCCATGTCCCTCTTCTCTTACAAAAGTAAAGACATTGGAGACGTTAGTCCACGGGCCCTCACGTCACTTGATCAAAGCAGTGGTGTTTTAGAGCACAAAAGTGTTTGCGTCTTTTTTTGCTAAAATTAGGGCTAACGCAATGCCCTCACACATCCACTCTGTGCGCCTCTGCTTACGCACCAGTCATTCCAAATTCTTTATTCTACACACCCTACACTCCACTCCAGTGTCTCATTGGGATGAAGGCTTTGATTACATCGGCGGCCTACTAGTTAGTCGTTGAGGGGTCTTTACTATTGATGACTCTGCTCGATCACGGTTGTGTTTTGGGTTGTGAAGAGTTCAGGTTGAGTTTCCTTCCTGGCAATAAGGAGAGCGTCCATAACTCGTTATCAAGAGGAGAAGGGTACAAATTCGAAATACATGAAGACTTAGCATTCCTGCAGCGAACCACATTACCAATAGCCCAAAACATTTGACTCAAAACCTACATTTATTTTTACAATTTGTCAATGACTAAATGAAATAGTCTAAATGATGACAGAGGAGACTTGCATATTTTCCTTAAGCAATGATTTTAAATTAAGAATGTAAAAGTTAGAAAATAAGTGCCTTTTGCGGTTTCTCGGGCAATGGAAAGCAGACTGCAGGGTAATGCAGAAACACCGTCAAAATTATGTGGTAGTCAAGAGAGTGTCAAGCGCATGTAGGACATAATCCAAGCGTCACTGCATTCGACAAATATGATGGTGCATCAGCTTTTTCCAGCAATCCAAGCACTGCCACCTCCTTGACTTTTCAGTGGCTCTGTGCAAGTAGCTAACCACTTGAGTGGATGAAAAGTGGATGGCTCAAATTTCATTATTCACAACAAACTCATCGCATTCAATTCCAGATTAGCATACCACACTGAAGTGCTTGCCATCGGCACAACCACCCTCTCTATAGGTGTGTATGTATCTACATATGCAAACGATATACCCAGACAAGATAAGTGGGACTTCGCTTTTTAATCTTAAGAGAACCGTTCTACCTAAAGCTTAGACAATCTTTTAAATTGCTATGCAGTCACACTGATGAAATAAAAGCTTCGAAATGGCTAGCAGTGCAATTCTAAAAGCGCAACACAAACGTCGGTGCACAAAAGCGTGTAAACTTGTTCAAGGGTACATTGAATTCTTAGAGCTTTCAAGGCGAAATAAACGAAGAAGATGCAGAACTTACGGATTATCTTTGATAATCTCTGGGAGTTGGGTGGAATCTAGGAAGCACAAAAGTGTTTGTGATCAATTGTACTTTATGCTTCAAAATTATCACCAACATTCGAGGTAAAAAAAGACAGAAAGTAGGAATCGTAGAAAAATGGACCACAGAAGCGGCACAAGATGAGAATGTGAGAGAAGTATTTCTGCAATCTGGTCCCCATTCTTATCGCAACAACTGCAATCTTGTAATAAAATGAAATAGTTCATACGAAACTGTACATCGTACACAGAGATAACTCAAATACTCCTCCAGTCCACATTCTTCATACTTCTGATAATGTTGCAATGCGGTAAGGACACGGTTAGTATTGATTGTAGAACAAGTGCAAAAGTAGTTCTTTACAAATGACTAGCCCACTTTATTTAAAAATTCTAACGCGGCAAAATGTTGTGCATGAAGCTAAGGAAATAATGTTTGAAAACTGATATAATTTGATTTCGTATATGGCATTATGTACTATTGTTTTGGTTTATACTTTAATGAAGGTTTTCTGCTTGAAATCTATTTTAGTACTCATTTTGGAGGCCACGAGATTATCGTCTCTGTACACTTACACCAATGCAGCTGCCTAGATATCTTGTCTAAACATTGCATAAAAGATTTAAGAAAATTCACTAACGTCAATTGCGCAATTCTGCTCAGGGCAAACAGGAACATGTTCAATGCTAAATTATCAAGCTGCAAGTGTAGATTGCTATAAAAGTTTAAGATTCCCAAAATACAATTTATAAATGTGATACTATAATTACTGTCAAAACCAGATTTGCACAAAACACAAAAACCGGAAGAAGAATCTACCTTCAATTTGGCATAAGCAGATACCAACCAGCGACGTTAAGTAGAGGCAAATTATACCCCAGAAACATGCATTCATCCTAATGGCACAAATCCACCTGACCACCAAAATTTTGTATGAGAAGTCGACCTTCTCAAAGGTTGCGAGCTTGACAATGCGGCGATTAAAACAAATCATGCAATAATATGTACTGATTGTCTGGCTGCCAAAAACTACAAGATGTGTCCTTTAAACCTTAAAATAATCTTAGATACAGAGAAGCATATATAAATTTTTGAAAGATATGAAACGGGGTATTTATAATAAAAAGACATTACAACGCAAGCATAAATATGCTTATAAAGTAAGAAGTGCATACTTAGCTGCTCATATTTTAAGTTTAGTAATCCCCTATAAAACTGAAGCAATGGCGACTATACCATGAATTACTAAATCACGAAAATTAGCAGAATGTGATTGCCAGACGGCTGGTGAATGAGACTGAAACAGCTATGCTATTGAAAAGAAAAACCTACTTAGGTCGTCTGAGATGCTGCGCGAAAATATAGGGCCATTTTCGGTATCATTTTTTTGCATAGTCAACTTCAATATTCAGCGTTGGCTCAAGCATCACACATTGTTAACCTCTCCTCATCTTAACATCAACTCAGAAATTACAATTACCAGTCTTTTCATTTGCTTGTGTTTTTGACAAAACCTGGGAACAACACTTGCGACATTCCTCCAAGACTTCAATATTCTTGGAATTTCACGCCAAGTGTGAACTGCAATGAAGAGGCGGATAAGAACCTGTAGGTTCCAGCTGTGAATTGTAGGATAAAGAGGAGATATAACGCTACGGACTAGCACATTTTGAGTAGGCTTGACAGTACCTAATCTGCAGCCATTATATCGTTTATTTTATTACTGTCGTTGCCATCCATTCCACACCCGCGATTTCAAAGCAGTCCACCGTTGCTGTTGTGAGGAGTAACTAGCAGCTTGAGATGGCAGCAAATAAGCGTATAAGCACTACTGATTAGTCCCTTCATGAACATTGTAAGAGCTATTGCCGGAACATGAAACCCACATTCTACCACCTTCGTTTCCATCTCGGGAGGAAATTAGGTTCACTCGACCGCTCCCCTTATAACAGTCCCTAACGCTGCCTTTAGTCCGGCAGTTATCCGTCCATGCAGACACCATTCGTTACAGTTGCTTGTGTTGTACTATATCTGGAGGGTGACTCAAGGGCTGCACCATTATGAAAGTCAACTTAATCAACAAGACTACGATCGTGAGACCTAACGAGGTGAAAAGACGTGTACAACACTGCAAGAGAGAATGGGTACCACGGTTAAGCCCTCCTCAATCAACACATTGCTGCTGGCAGGAACCCGTGCTTGAGTGCGTCATTGTGCAAGAAGAGAGAAATGAAAGGTAACAGAACCAGAAGGCAAAATTCGGTCACGTTGATTTGCATTACTTTGGCTTTTCCATCTAACCGTTGTACAAATGTATTAAATTTGAGAGGATTAACTGGTTTATTTAGCATTTAAGTTTTCTGTAGTGAAATCCTAACAGACAGTGCAGCAAAATGTGTATTTTGGCCTCCAGGTTGTAAAAGTTGTGAGCAAATGTGTCAACTCGACCACTCTTCGTCATATTTCAGCGCTGCGTCACGTTGTGACAATCTACCCCCACAGAAATTGGAGTGGGAGCGAGTTTGATTGAAGGTTCATGGCTCACCAAATAAGGCAGAAGTCTGTGCCTCCTCTCTAACTGCAACACGACACCATTGTTGATGAGAATTTATGATGAACGTATGGACGGAGTGGTTGGCTATTTGGATAGCCAGGGGGATGTGACACCGAGCAGAATCAACTTGCTGAGACCGAATTGACCACACTTTTAAGTCTTTCGCCACACAAATGAACAAATTAATTTATTTGGTAGGAATAATCAAAAAGGTGTTAAGAAAAGCAGAATGAACGGATGTAGGGAAAATACAGATGCAGAGCTGATAATGTGCATGCATTTCCCTGGTCATCTTCCTCCCATTTCAGCATTGCCTATCCACTGAGTGGCTATTAGAGAGGGCTTCGTTTGTTAGGCGGTCAGCAACTTTATTGAATCACAGCGGACGACTACGCAATAGACTTGTCAGATGTCAAAATGTGGAGACATCCCAGTTGTGGGCATCACTTTCAGAGAACACGAGATGGGTAAAACCGCCAAGGCTAGATGCAAATTCAGCCTTTCCTATAATGGTCTTTGCAGACACAGCCCTACATCCGTGACGGTAAGACTTGGCACTGGGTCCTAGGACTCGAGTTAGGAGTGACGTGGCACTTAAGGACTCGGAAGAGAGTGCAACTTGGTAGGACAATGACTTACAAGATCAACTGTACAGTCGAAATGTCTCATCATGGAACTAACAAAGAGCAGCACCTCTCGGAAGTTGCTGTCTTTAATATTTTTCTTCCCATGATTAGCTTTGCAGGCAGTAACACACGCCAAACCTTCAGCTGGACCATTCAGCCGCAATCACGATGCCAGTCGCGTGCGCGCATGTAGAGGTGCTGAAGTTGCTCAGTACTTGAGTGAATTCCTTAATCCACTATCTTGCCTATTTGTGGTCGCCCTCCCCATCCATCATTAACCCTACACAAATTAAATCCCTTGACATCTAAGGTGGTAGCGATTGGGCCCTATGTTGCATCAAGATGAAAACACATTACTGCCAGTAAATAAGCGAGTGTGTGAAAAGTGGAAGTTAATTTAAACCGCAAAGGCTCGATCATGGGACTGAAGACCAAAGAGATGGTCGCGTTGGATGCTTGAGATCACGAATGAACTGCTGTCAATGGACCTGACACAGCTGCGGAAAGAAGGAGGCGTTGATGGTGGTGGAGGATGCACCACCTCCACCTGAGGCCTCTTCAGTCCACCCGAATCCCCAGATGCCACCATGCCATGACATCATGCACCATACCATTCTCGAGGTCCGGCTGTCTTCGAACCTGACTGTAGTGAGGCTAAAATTCGTTCCTTGGATCTCACACCAAAAGGGCGAATGATTACCGTGTAGTCATGACACAATCATTCGCGAGGATATGCAACAGTACAAAGCACGTACACTCCCGGTAACAAGATGGCCTCCCAATTTTCACCGACATAGATGACGAAGCCCTCTTTCAGATTTCAGATTAGTGATACTGCAAAGTTACAAATGTACCTGAGAACATATTCAAAATATTGGACACAATCCCTAAGCTAGGAAGATTGTCCCTTTCTCTCGCAAACTCCAAGGACCCAGGTCACATCATAAGCCGAATGTTGGCTTAGCAACAAAAATCATAATGGCATTCCGTCAATCTGGGTTGCTGCAGGGAAAGACGTTTAACCGACAAAGCGTAGGTGTGTCAAATCATTTCCCTACTCAATTCTCGAAGTTCGGTTTGGAGGGTGCAACTTCGAGCAGTGACAACACGAACTGCACCATGCAATGCATAGACAGCCTTATAGCTAGTAAATTGAGTGGTTAAATCTTTTATTAAATCACGACACGTCCTCTGTCAGATTTGGTGAACCAGAGTAAATCCACTAAAAGCGGAATAAATAGCCATACGAATGGTTCAAGCGGGGATGGTTTCGTGGGTGCGCAGGCTGGACACGGCGGTGGCAATAATGCACCGATATTGAGTGCGAGCACAAAAATTTGAGGAATCCAGCACAAGTGCTTCTACATCACTTCTGCATCAGCCGTCATTATTATCTTTTATTCCCTTGGGCATCGTCCCACCATCACCACACCTCCGTACCAGCATCGCGGATTACCGTAAATCCAACTTTTTCATATTTTCACATTAGCACCAATTCAAATAAAGCCTTAAATGTCCTATTTCTGCATGTCTGTTATCCGACACCGTCTATTTGCGCTTTGCCTTTTCAGCTATCTTTCGAGATAGCATCCGTATAAAGTCTCACTGTAGATGGCAAGCAAAACCCAGACACTTTGCGCTGCAGGTAGGTGAGAGGAGACCTGTAGATAGGAGGTGGACAATGGTGAGGGCATAGTAGAATCTCCAGAATCATCAATGAAGAAATTGTACTGATTCCGTGGAGAACAAGATCCATTACCGAATTTCTGCAACAACATCATCGAATGCATTGCTTCCTAATAAGGATCCTCTCCTCAAACTGTTTTATGAAGCTTCTCCCTCTCTCTGCTAACGGCGCCTGCAAAAGAGAGATCGCAGAATTGGGTTTCTGCTAGCAGTTTTAATTGACGGCAGCCGTCTCCGCGACGACAGCACGGCGTATCAGCTGTTGAATGATCTACAGGTGTGGGCACTTGGAATGAGGGGAGGAAAGGTGTCCTAACATGCTTGCTACCAGTGTTACATGCATTTAATACCGTTGATTAAGGAAGGTGAAGTAGACCAGGGAGAAGAAACGAAATGAAGACGATTGAAGTCAAGTTTAATTGGCAAAACGTTTGATCAGCAGCGTGCAGCATTCCATTCTGCGGATGCTTTAGCAACAATGACTTCTCATCGTTTGTGAGAAGGGTAGAATAGGTGACTTTATACAGTGTTTGCACAGCTGGGTAGTATGAGGCCCCTCCGCACACCAGCGAACCTGCAAATTTCCGCCGACAACATACGTTCCCCATTAATGGGTCAAATGTTGTCGCCTGCTGTTGGCTACTTGGTGCCAAAATAGGCAACGCAATCCATACTCACGTTAAGTTTCTTAAAAATGTAAAATCCAATGTTGGGGAGATTGGCGGGTGATACATGCAAATGCTTGCACGGACGATGCTGCTGTTCTTTTCCATTAACCCGCAATTGCATAAAAGACGCCATTTTTTCCAAACACTTGGTGGCGCTTGCTGTAGTCAAAAATAAAGAAATGCCTGCGGTTGTCGCTGTAACATTTTCTCTCCGCCCTAAGCTCTTACAAAGCATTAGTAAATTACGTCGTGGCGTGCATCATAAACTCTTAACAGGCCAGTTTTCAGTCTACGAATGAATGTCATCTCCCTATCTTCTCTGTGTCGCATCGCCCAACTTTACAACCATTTGCTTTATTCTTATCCATTATGTGTGCTGGCTAAAAGCTCATAGAATACAGTCAGTATCTCGATAGCAGAATAAGAGAGATTTATGGTGGAACGACAATGGAAACTCATTACAATCCTTTTACAGATATTCCTACCTAATGTAAAAACCTCCATCTTTGTGCCTCCTAAATCCTAGCAGCATGAATTTTACCTTCGTAGTGTCTTTTAAGACAGACTATGCGTGGATTCCAATTTGCGATATCGTCCAAGTGCACTAAACCGTCCATTGAGAGGAGATTGGATTGCTGGTGCAATTCGACGCGAGATTCAATCTAAGCATTGACAAGGAAAACGAGGTGGAGAAAGTGTGCAGGATACATGGTGCTGACAAAGTCAACAACGATACTGTTGATGTACGGCTCAATTTCCAATGCGGGCATTGAAGGAGGGCAAGACGTGCTACTGTCAGTTAAACAACGATCCTCTCTCACCACAGTCTTGGCCAATTGTCCACGATAGCGCTGCTTCACTTCGTGAGCAGCATTGTTGGTAGTCGTCTGATTGGCGCCAAGTACGGAACAGATGACAGTGGGAATGAGGAGCTCGAAGCAGGGTCACCATTGCATTAGCAATATTTACCTATTACTGAATTCAGCCGGTTGGCAAGGCAGGTTAAGGTGCGACTAAAGTTGGCTTAGTGATGCAAGGAAGGGCAGATTTACAGGTGAATAGAAAGTCGTAGAGAGAGGGGGAATGACAGAAGCTAACTGGTACAAAGGGTTTATTTTTGCCACATTTTTCATATATCGCCCTAGCTAGTAGTCACGTAACCCTCTGTAAGGGTCGGAGTGGACAAAGCGTTTGACCTATTGCTGCAGTTATCACTTCTGGTACAAATCTTCAGACAGACTAGGAGGGCAGCAGTGTACAGTATGCAGTTGTGCACATCCGAGTCAGGCAATCACAAATAGCAAGCTCAGGAGAGTTGTTGACGATAACATGCTCAAAAGCGAAATATGAAGTTGCAGGAGAAAAACATCTTTACTTTATGCACGCGTTCGCAAAATTCGTCAAGTGTGGATTGTACGTTTTAAAGTTAATAAAATAGAGGTTGGAGCAAGCTTTACACAATCATAAGAAACACAACTTTGATTTACTCACCCGATTGTCACATTCATTGCCCGGATGTGCACCTTCCCCTTTCATCCCTTCAACTTCGGCGCAATCCTCTCGTATGAATGAAGTCTGATAGTCAATAACATTTGAACTGTGAAATCGTTGACAGGCTCGAACACACACTGTGTAAGGAATGCGTAGTAGGAGACCGTCAATCGTGCACTCCGCACCTTCTTTAGCTGTGCAGTTTTTCTCCACTGATCCCGCAACGTATGCTGCAACCACATCCATTGCCTTTTTGACACCTGGCGCAGTCCATGTCACTTTCACTGCGGTCTGATTTACAACTGCCAATTGGATGTTGCTTGGAGCTAAAACGTGAAAGTAGATACATGCAGAAACCCTGTTGCCTACTTGGTTCATGAAAGCTTGCGTTAGAGCAACTTAACATGCAGTCCTATGCTTATTTTTCTCTCTGTGCCCTGAAAGTTATTCCTATCACCAACACATCTTACGCAGCAGGGTCTTGGCACTTACTGCTATAAAAAAACACTTCACCTGGGGCCACATCTTATGCGACGGATTTGATACAACAAGCACATTACTTATATTATGTCGTCCTATTCCTGCTCATGCGACCTAACTGCATCATCATTCCACAGTTTCAGCAGTCACCTCTCCATGACATCAATTCGTCACCTCATGGGATTCCAATAACAGCATCTCTTTGAGCAGGTTCGCAAAAGTCCACTGCATTACGGCATTCTTCACTGCATCCATCTTCTCTTTATTTCCATTAGCTGCCAAACCCTTACCAACGTTAGCAACTGTTCATTCATCAACAACGCAATTCTTGCATAGCAACCCACACTACCTCCTGCAGTTGGTGGGGTGAAGGTGTTCGCTTCAAGTTCCGCCAGTGCAGTCAAATGGCTTCACTTTTATCGTATTCACTCATGATTCGCTCCTAAAACGGGACGCAGAACTTAACAATCGCAGTGGAAATTGACAGTGGAAAAGTAGCCGACAGTAGTCTGACATTAGTAGTGCTTTATTTGGCAACTTGGTGATTGCATCGTGAGACAAACCTCTTTACAATTTGTGCAGGCAGAATGGCTAGCAGCCACCTTCCACTTTACATTAGCACGCACACGCAACCAATACAGCTCGAGCCGTCCACTTTGACAACGCGGACAACCCTCACATAGGCTTTGAAAATATATGCCGCATGCACATACATGCATACACAACATCTAACACACAATCTGTGAAATCAGACTCCACCACATCTACATAATGACTTTTTAGAGTTGAAACGCCTACACGTCTTTTGCAGAGGCATTGAATTAGGGGGTACATTGATCCATCTCAATGCATGGACCTCATAATATGCATATATTTCATGTGAATTCTTTGTACAGAAGGAATATCAGCCCCGCATAGGTGTAAGCGATAATCAAAATTGATGACAAAATTTCCATTTGTCAAGCCAAATAAAATATCACTTTCTTAGCTATCGTAAAGCAGTGCGAAATAGCGACGCAGACATTCAATTGTGCATGTGGTGTCAGCTGCCATCCACCAAAATTGCTGCTCCTATACCATAACCTTTTCGAATCCATTCGATGCTTTTTTACTCTCTTACCGCATACTGCGCGTCTTCTGGACCACAGCAGTACTCACACCCACAACTCACAATGATAAACATGTGGTATGTGTCATTAAGTCATAGCAACACTTTGCAACAATTACATGGCGTCACATACGACTAATTATTGAACAGATTTGACCGGCATCAATGTCGAATCGGCTACACCCACCCAAGAAATTCTCGGCCAGGATGTATGCGCAAATAACGTGGGTGTGTGCAAGTCTCGCGGGACAGGGACGCAGATGCACATCGCGTCCTGAGCATTCCCGTCAAGTGGATTTATGTGCAGATGGGAAAAGGTGTCATTGAAGTCATTCCATACAAGTTATTTAAGGAGAGGTTACAGAGTAAAGACATATAAATAAGTGAAGAAAGAAAAACACATAAGTCAATGAAAAATGGGAGTGCGAGAGAGAAGAAAAGGTACTACTTTATTGAAAACAGTGGAGAAAAAAACGTGTGATTTGTAGAAATCAACGCGATGATAATGGGATGATAAGGAAGTAGATTGCAAAGACAGAGGTGAAGAGACATGAAGGAAGGGGGAGTGAGACATAACAGAATTTGAGTCAATCACCTAGAGAGAACGTGTGGCAGCCTCTACATTGTGAAGGAATTTACGTGACCTAAAATCTGTGTTCACGCGTAACAATGTAAGTGTGTGTGATTTAAAAACACCTTTTCCTCGTCTTGCTTCCCCATTGTCTTCAATTCCGTGCTCATTCTCAAAAGCACTGCCACATAATCTTACAGACGTGGTATAGAGTTTGCGCCTGTGAATCACACGAGCTGCATTCAAATAGCACTACTCAATTCTGCTACAAATTTGGGCTTCTCACATTAAACTCAGTCACATTTTTTAATTCATGCCATCTTTTCATGTGTCACTGCCACAGGGGCAGTGCGACATCACTGGCTATTCACCAGATGGGCTTTAAATGGAGAAAAACAAGTCAATGTTGTCCACCTTGCATGGCAATGGCCACGCGACTGCATACGCCATTGTTACATGTACAATAGGCACAATGGGATAAAGACACAGACGCTCAAAGCTTCTTGTGCTGTTGCATCTCGTGGATTCGCTGGTTAGATGACTAACGGTGAAGGAGCACTAGCAGGTGGTGTAGGCGTTGCCGTGAAGAAACGAAAAATGTGGCTGATCGCGAAATACGAATAGAAGGAAACACAACGCAAGAAAGCTAAATTCGATGATTTGAGTGAAAGGGAAGTCATGAGCATTCAAACCGTTGTGAAGTCCAACGACTTCATTTCCCTACTCCGACGCACGCATTTAGCAATCGCTCAATCGCCTTTGGTTCACAGCAGCTTCGGACAAGTTGTAATGTCCAATTCTACCACATATACGTACGACTAACATCCAAGACAAATTCTTCTCGTTGTTCAATTAATGTCATATATCAAGGCAACACTGCCACAAGAACCGTGTGATATTACTTGGCATTACATAAACATGCTTTGCATCGTGGACAACATGCCTATATTTCTTACCTTGCATGGGAATGTTTGCGCTGCTGCACACGGCATCGCTGCAAGTATAATCGCCTGTTCCGGAATTAGCGACGAACTCAAGCAGATCACCACTTGACACGAGTTGAGCATCAGCGAAGGAGGATGATACAGTTGTTGCAGTCCTTGAATGTGCGTGACAGGCTCGAACACACACTTTGTAGGGAACGCGTAGTAGGAGACCGTCGATCGTGCACGTCGCACCTTCTTTAGCTGTGCAGTTTTTCTCCACCGATCCTGCCATGTAAGCTGCACACACATTCATTTTGTCACTTTCACTCTCTGCCGTCCATGCCACATTCACCGCGGTGTGACCATTCGCAGTCAATTTGATGTTGCTTGGTGCTAAAACACATAACAGTGATTGTGACTAAACTTACTGTTGCCTGCTAGCTCCTCGCAAGTTGGTAGTCGAGTGCCTCAACAAAAAAAAAGCGCCTTCTTAAATATTCACTCTATTTGTCTACACCTACTGCCCCTGAATTCTTGCTCGAGATCCACGACATTTCTGCAATTTGATCTACGTTTTTTAAGTAATTGGACGCTTTTGCATCTTCGCATCTTTTAGACTATTCGGTCAGTCGCCACCCATTTACGTTGGGGTTATTTTTAATTCCACCCACCGAGTGTGCCTTGATTGTTATGGCAGACAGTCTGTAGTTCCCAAGCATTACTTATTTGCGTTTAAATTTTCTTGAACACTGTTGCAAGTGGAAGAAAGCTGCTGTTTGCATCATTGTGGAGAAGCGAATTAATGTTAAGTTATGGAATACTAGTTTTAGAGTGAATAAACTTGATGGCTTTGTTGCTAGGAGCCGACTGCAAACAGATGGTGCAAAAAAGATACAACATCAGTTAATTTTGCTCACTCTCTCATCTTAGTTGATGCTTTTTGGGAAAATTCGCACAGCCTGATTCCAGTTAATTACAAACATTTTACATGTCTTCATTATGACTTTCGAATATGGCAAATTGTATACGACGAGCCCTGAAATTATATACAATTTCCCAACTGAGTAATTTCCTAAGGATTTTTTATCCGGAAAGCGGCATCAAAGCACGTAACCCTGACTATAACTTTGGATTTCGGCTTCCTAATGGCATTTCGATCAAAACGAAGTCATTCACAAGTATATGAATAAAATGATTTGCTAGGTAAATGAATTTAACTGTTATGCTTGTCAACTTGTTACCTTTACTATGACCTCCTTCAGTGACACAGAACTGGAATTGGAATTACCAGTGCTTTTGCAGGGACATGGGACGACTTGGTTTGCTGCGCCTATTCAATTACGCAAGTACAGTTACCTAAGGCGTGGCTCCGCGGCTCTCACAACACAATTAATGGAATGTTATGTAAGAGCTTTGAATAGAACGAGAGCTCGGCGGTTATGATGTGCCTGCATCTGCCGCCATCCGAGATAAAGCTAATGCAGTACCTGCACACACCTTATCTATGCATCCTTGCTCACGCATCAGTCATCCTAAATTCATTTTTATCCGCCCTACAACCCACTTCATCATCTCACTAGGGTAAAAGCTTTGAATTTTTGATTCACTGCTAGCTATTCTTTAAAAGATTTTGGGTTTTAGTGCGCATGATGGGAAACAGCATCATCTCCATTTGCGTAAAATTTGTGAGTGTGTTTGGAGATAAAAGAGTACAGATTAAGCATTCTTCCTGTTTTGTACTATACGATGCCATCTACCGTTGACTATCAAAATTTTGGCAGAGAGTATGGTGTTTATCAAGAGTTATCAAAGGAAAAAAAATGCGATTTTAAGCAGGATTTAACATGATGTTTTAGTAATCCATCGGGGTATTGTAATCTTTTATCAAATCGCATTACAAATAACTCAAAGCCATTGTCCCATATCTCAGTTATTTTTGACAATTTGTAGGTAAGTGGATAGATTAGTCCAATCACTGGCACGGGAAATTTTCGCATCATTGCCGATGCTATGCTCGAAAGTAGGGTTCGAAGTTACCAAAGAAAAACCGCCTTACGTTATGCACGCATTTGTGAAAACGGTAAAATTTTAGATTGCATAGCTCTGAAATGGACAAATCAGAGGTTGGAGCAAGCTTTACAATACCATAAAAATCACAACTTTGATCTACTCTTCCGATTGTCAAATCCATTGCCAGAATGCGAGCCGTCATCTTCCATCCCTTCAACTTCGGCGCAATCCATTCGTATGAATGAAGTCTGATGGACAATAACATTTGATTTGTGCAATTGTTACCGCATCTTGAGCTTCACCGAAACACACAACTCTTAGGACTTGTTGAAAGGAATTGATGCAAATTTGCCACATTTCTACTAATTGATTTTGCGCAGGTTGCTTTGCACAATTTTGCAGAAGATTCCGCTACACATACACTGGAGAATCGCGATGTATTTGGCTGTCTTTAGCAGCATGGAACACGCAATAATGCGTAAATTTGCCGGTTCTTTTCTTCGGAAACACAATACCGAAATTTCAATAACAAAACGGAGACAGGAAAGCCCAAATGCATAAGCATACTCATGTGGAAAATATCAAATGAGCACTGAAATAGTGCTTGAGTGCTCTTCTGATGTATCTTTAGCCTTTCTCAATGTTGTAATAAAAATTACCGAAGTGGTGGTACATTCATAATAAGCAACGAGATGAAGGGAAGAAGAGACTACAATGGCTTAAATTCCTCTCAGGCACCGGAATGATGTACACACAGCCAGATGATACCTGTCTGCATGTGTATTTGTCTAGACGATGCCTCTGATCTCCGTGACATGCACTTCCAGTTGAGTGGATTCGCCCAACTGCGCTTCCTTATCCCGACTTGCAGCAGCGCTTGGAATGCTGCATACCAAAGGTACGATACTTCCCCCACTAATTTACAGAATCACCACTCCTGACACACCTACCGATGACATTGCATTCCCACTTAATTTTGTAAAAATGCACTCCTCATCCTTGGGTCACCCTACATCTAAGCTGTTTCACGTTGCCGTCTGATCATGAATGCCGGTTCAGTATAGAAACAGACAATCTTGAATCCGAATAAACAGTATTCGAGCAGTGATTATATAAAGAGAGAAGAGGAAAAGAGCACAAAGTTAAGAAGTCAAAATAGAAATCAAAATAGCAGACAAGTTCATGGTTTGCCTTTTCGTTGGTTCAAGTGAATGTGTTCATTTCTGAAAACAAGATAATAAACGTGCCTTTAGTTAAGGGTGCAGAGTCTATTCACTTATTTCGACTGTTGATAAAACACTTTCCTCTGTTGCTAGTTCGTCATAAATGTTACCTCTTTGAGCCTTAAAATCACGAGGTAAATGGCAACACTACATTTCAGGGCAATCTTTCAGGGTGTGACCAGCCTCTAATTCACATTTTCTGTGTTACAACTAGTCGGCTAGGTAAAACAAACATTTTTCAGTCTTAAGGCAAATAATTCACTACCTGGCATTCACTTGCTTGATACATTCATCACCATGACCAGTGTGTGCGCAAGTGTGTCACTAATACGAATAACACATTACCTTGATCAAGTAGGAATTATGGGTTTCTCTTTGGTGGTACCGGAGGACGTGCAGCTAAAAATGGAAAACAAGAATGCATCATTTACTACGCTTTGCAACCCAAACCAACTGCGATGTATTCGTAAAAACTTTCGGCTAAGCAATGTCATTGTCTATTCTATTAATCATGATGACAATGACCTGCAACAACGCTAAATTGGTTTAACTTGGCATTTAGCTGTAAGGCCTCCCTAATCGAAACACCTCCTGTCCACCATAAGCACTGAAAGATCATCTTCCAGTCTGTATTGACGAGAACGAGGACGGACAGTGAACAGAGATGACAATAGACGAGGGAGAAGGAAGGAAGTCTAACCATATGACATGTTGTAATTGAGCACTTATTTGCACGGACTGTTTTTTCCACTTCGCGTCCAAACCCTTCGACAGCACACATACGGTCTTACGCCTAACGCCTTCCAAATCTCGTGTACGTAAGCAATGAATGTGGCTTCTGACGTCTTAAGAGAAGACATGGGCTTTGCAGATGACTGCTTTTGTGTAAAGGCTCAAGGAACATGGAACAAAACAAAGTCACATGTCAGTTGATGTTACTGATATGCATCCATGCGATATTGAAACATCCTTCTACAGCAAAAAAACTATTTTCCATGTCGAATCCCGCTCCACTGCACGTAAGTGAGGATGCTCAAGAGTGTTCTGATAGTCAGCAACCGCAAAAAGAAGGACGATGAATTTGGATTGAAGCCGTTGTTACTGGAATCGGCTAATTTGTAGACGGGAATCATAACGCCTGACTAGCTGGTCGCGTTTGGCCAAAATCATATTAGTGATATCTAACCTACTGCTCTCATAATCCAGGCACGCAATGTGCCTAAGGGATTACAAGAATAATCCCCGATTGAATGAGCACATTCAGCGTCAACTTACGTTCCATTGCATTCATCTCAGACTGTTCACCAATATTCTGATACTCGGCAGCTGTGACAAAGGAGAACAAAGTTGTGGTTAAGGGAATTAGCCGGTGCCTTAACAGGAATCACAACATCTGCAAAACATATCATTATTTCCTAAAACCTGGACAGTGGCATCTGATCTACTGCTCGCAGATTACAGACATTTTTAAATTCGTCCAAGAATTCCAAAACCTTTTCCTTACACGGTGCAGCTGGTAATGCCTTTGGTCCTGGTGCGATTTGTTTCACGCCAAGATTCTCCTTGCCAAGGCAGAAGTCAATGAAGTTGTAGAGGAATTGTAATTGTGACTAAAAGTGCAATAGCGAATGGGGAATAAGAGAAGGTAGACAAACGTGCAACAACAAGGTAGAGCGGAGGGAGATAACGCACCCAAACTTGCACCAAGTTTGCACGCCACTTCCGCATCGCCAGAACGGTCCCAACGATGTCCACATTCTGTGGATTCGTTCGCAGACGATCAAGGAGAAAGCGAGCTGCCATAAACGTGCCCGTTCGACCGACACCAGCACTGAAAGTAGATACAGAGGCTTTTAGCCATCATTGTACCCACTTGGTAAGCGTTGCCGAACACTCTCGTGTCTACCTCAGTCTACATTCAGTCTTCTGTGCGCGTTGTTACCACAAAGCACTCTTTGAAGAAGCCATCCAGGTAAACAAACGTTTGTCTCACCTGCAGTGTACAATTGTCGGACCGCACTCAACTCCCATTGGGTGTGTCGCC